TGATATCTAGTGTTGATATTGCATGTTGCAGCTGAACACCCTTCACCTCACCCTCTCCTTCCATGAACATGAAAAAGAACCTGTGGTAGCTTCAGTTGTCATAACAACTCAAAAGGTGTTTAGTTTGTCCAGTCTGGACTAATGTAAAAAACATGGCAGCCTCCATAGAGAGGGTCCCCTCGATGTAAATATAAAGTATTTAAATATAAAGAGCCTTTTCTGGGGAAAATAAAACTACAGTTCATACAATTTAGATGAAATGAACTAGTGAAAACATCATGAGGATTATTCTATATTAAATGTCTGCCAATAGATCCCTTTCAACTAAATCTCACACACTGGACCTTTAAAAGTCCAAAATACCATTAACACGATAGTGAAATTCAGTTTATAATCACTGCAGAGATCTGAGTTTGAGAGTGTGTTGTTTACATTTCTAACACTCCTCACCTGAACTCTCTTGTGTTGTGTTATTCATGTGTGAAAGGAAATCCCCAGAGTTCATGCCTGAAGAAGGCTTTACATGACTCACTGGTGGAGCACTTCTTTGGCTTTCACCGGCATAACCAGATGTAGTTAGTAGTTAGAAAATATACACATGTTTATTTGGTGGAAAAGAAAAGTTAACTGTGAAGCCCAAGGTGAATTATGTAAAGAAACATCCAGTCACTGGGCTTAAAACCTTGTCACACTGTGCACTGTGCACACTGTGAGGTGGAAGTTAAAAGTAACGTGACAGTAAAACCTACAGTTTACATTAATTCACTGGGATTCTGGGAAATTCAACAATGAACCATCATTAATTAGTTACCACTGTGAATCAAGTTTGCGATTACCTTGATTTCCATAGAAACAGCAGGTAAAGGTTTTCAGACCCTTGAGGCATAAATAAAATAAAATGAATAGAAAACAATTATTCAATCTATAAGCCATCACTAGCAAATTTTGAGTTTAAAATGAACAATAGACTGAAACATAATCAGGCCAGTGAAAGGGTTTCATTTACCCCTTCTTTTGTTGAAATGGTTGAAAACAAAATGTGAGAGAAACAAATTTGAGATAATTTCATGTGCAGTTTTCTTATACATAAAATCAGTCGCGATGTGAAATTCAAAAATGAAAAGAAAATGTTTGTATCATAATGTTAAACTAGCTTCACACCGTCATGGTAAACAGCTGTTCATTTTTGTGCCCTTGGCTTTCAGCTCTATGAATGCATCTAACATGTGAACAGGACTGAACAGATTCACCGCACATAAACCTGAATCAGTGCTATTACACACATACACCTGTCAAGTCCAAAAGGTTTTATGACCACTAATGGGCTGAGGACTGAAGATGAGTCATTGCTGGATTTATGTACAGAAATGTTCCCAGCCGCCCATTTCCTGTCCCGTGAGCTCCGGTGTCTTATCATAGCTGCTGACTCATCGCCAAACCCAGACTGAGAAAGGGGTCGTGCTTCTCCAGCCAATGCCTGAGTGATCTGAGTGGCAGCAGACATCCCCGTAATGGGTATCTGACTGCACGTGAACATAAATCACACACACAGGTGTTGTCAGGTAGGGTTAGATAGTGTTACAGGTTGTAATTACTGAGAGAGAGTGAGTATGGGAAGGCAGACACAATTAATGAAGATGTGTGTAAGCATGCGTGAGGCGGATAGAGTCACATAAAATAAGGGGTGGAAGTAATGTCATCGGTTAAGTAGCCGAAGGAGCTGAAAGCATTGTGTCAACACTTGTGAGGCCAAGCAACAAAGACCTGATGTAAAACAGGATGGAGCTAGCACACAGAAAAAATAGCTATCCTGAGTGATCCGATCACAAGTGTTCAGTGCTAAGTACAGGTGCCAACACACACAGCAACATTTGAATCTGACACATCAACTCAAACAACATAATTTGTTCTTTGCAAACACAAATAACATATGTGATTATTTGCATGTAGTCACTCAACATGTAAGTGTTCACAGAAGAGACATTCAGGATGCATTTGGATGTCAGGTGTAAACATACCTAACACTGGCCACGTGAGACCAGGCCATTCAGGATGGATGTTAATACCGGATGTCTGAAATGTATCAATTTGTATTATCATGAATTAACAAACAGTGAGTGCAGGACAAAAACTTTTGTGAAATGGGGGTGTTCATTAAGGCTTGTCCATGACTAAACCTCTGCTCAGCTAGGTTATCTACTTTGGCAACATAGCAATGCTGCCAAACAAAGAGTTGCCTTCTTGGTATGCTATTAAGATAACATGCTAAAACTATTTATCATTTATATATTTTATTCTATTTTCATATGTTTCATACTTCCTATCGAGCCTGGTCATTTGTAGTGGGGCCTTTATTATTGTCATAATTAGTAATTTAATTGTTTTATTGAAGTCATTCCGAATAAAATTTGTTTTTCGTTGGAAATAATGCAACTGTTTTGTGACTTGATTACTGACGTCTGTGGTTGTTTTTGCCTCGGAGGGGATGTTGTTAGGGACATTCCTGACACTCTTGAAATTTCAACTAGGAGGCTGACGTGAGCAGATTTTCCTACTTGACCAGTTTTAAATACTCTCAGTAGAATATGACATGAACACAGCAGAGTAACCCGTTGACCTGAAAAAAAGGGCTGCTAATAGATGTGTGTGTGAATGGGTGAATGACAAACTGTACTGCAAAGCACTTTAAGTGCTCATCAAGACTAGAGAAGTGATATATAAATACAAACCATTTACCATTTAATGTGCAATTTGTAATGGAAAAATATGAAGCAGTCATTAACAGAACTGGAGAGAAGTTTTCACATGTGGTTCTTTATTTGCTCGAACTTCCGTGAAAGTGATAGTTGACCAAAAAATGAAAATTCACTCATTATCTACTCACCGCTATGCTGACGGAGGGGTGGGTGAAGAGTTTGAGTTTCATGGGTAAACGGTGTTGCAGCCAAATTGAATACAATTGAAGTAAATGCTGACCACTTATTGAAAAGTAAAAAAACAACAGAGAAAGATATAAAATTCCTCCATACTGCTCCTGTGGTTTCACCCAAGTGTCCGTAAGCCCAGACATTCAAATTTGACTCGATATGAGGTAATCTACACCATTTATTTTGCCTGTCCTCTGTGATCCACGCATGAACGTGGCTCCAGAGGGGGATAACAGCAGCCATTTAGACTAAAAACATGGTGTTACATGGCTTACGGACACTTGGATGACACCACAGGAGGCATTTATGGGTTTTTTTGTTTGTTTTTTTACTTTGGAAAAAGGGTTACCATTTACCTCAGTTCTATTGGAATTCAGTGGTGAGTAAACAATGAGTGAAGTTTCATTTTTGTGTGAACTATCCCTTTAACTTAGCCATCAGTTTCTCTGCCTCCACAGCAGATTTGCATGGGAAACATAAAAATCTACAGCAAATGAAAATGAAATGACATCAGTGTATGTTCACATGTCCCCTAAAGCTCAATGATAAGCTTTCCTTCATCATCACTGCTGCTGGTGTCTTCTGAAAAGTCCTGGCAGCTCTGCACAGGCCTCACTCCAGCAGTCAGACTCTCAGCTGGCTGGTACCCTTGAAGCTGAGCAGCCAAGAAAAAAGACTGGTATTTGTTGGTCATGTCAGTTCTCCCAGAGTTACTGCTGTGTGTTCTGTACTCATGTGGTGCTTGATCCTTGGTATCCAGCTCAGGCTCTTGGTATGTAAAGGGATTTAATGGGGCCCCGGCATTATAACCCAGCATATTGGTGTTTGACGTGTAAGTGTTTCCCATCCATCCAGCTGAAGCTTGACTGACTTGCAGGGAATGAGAGACTTGGCAGTGGTGTGTGGCGCATGAGGTTTTGATATCTGTCAAGAGACCTGGGGTTTTGTTACTTCCTAATGTTACCTCAGTAGAATGGTCTACTGCTGTGCTGCTGTTACCTGCAGTGTTTCCTTGCTGTACGGATAGGGTCTGCTTTTCCTGGAGTGAAAATATTGATTGCTGAGTGATTTGTGAAAAAGCATGTTGTGACTCTTTTAATGGGGCCTGTGTTTTGATAAGTTTAGTGGATTTTGACTCGCAGTAGGTCTGTGTTTGTTGGGTATGGGCGGTGCTGCTTTCCCAGTGTTGTTGTGAGAAATAAAAGTTGTTAATTTCCAGTGGGGGCTGTGGAGAATTGAGAAGGCTAGTCTGACTGCCGCTGGCTGCTAAATGAATGTTATTTGACGTGCTCAGAGCTTGCTGAGGGCTCTGTGGAGGATACTCAGACATTCCTGAGTGCGTCTGGGAAAGATGCTGAAGATGCTCCTCAGATAGCCAAGAGTTTTTAAAGGAATCCACCTTGAACTCTGTGTCTTCTCCCTGTTAATAAAAGAAGAATATGAGAAGAAATATTACCATCTCACATTACTATAATACAGTCATTGTCCTCTTACCACTGAACCTTCTGATTAGATTCCTGCATACTGAAATACCAAAGTTTCTCGTGTCTAGTGAGTGATGAATCAGTCATCATAGAGAACAAGGTGAGTGGGTATTCAGCTTCAACTGCTCACTACACATCCTGAACTTTGAAATCATGTGAAGGAAATCCTGCCTTCTGTGGCATCACTAGTGTCAGCTGCCTGCAGTCCTGGTCTTGTTTTAATGGATTGTTGATGTTTTAAACTTGAGCAAAAAGCTCATAAATCCTAATGATTGTGTTAGTGTTGGGCAGCAGCGTACAGGTAAGGTGATATGTTTGTTTTACGCAGCTCCTTTAAATATATAGGTTTAAATGCAGCGCCTCTTCAACCTTTGATCTCCAGTGAATATCCAGTGTAATTCATGGTAATATATTCACTTGTTCAACTAGTTCTGCTGACACAGCTTAACGTTTTAGTTATTGGGCAATTACACTTGAATTTGTATATTTTAGTGCAGTGCCCGTTGTAAACCTGCCTGTTTGGAATGGACTGTTTTTGTGGCCTGATCAGAATGATTTCATGTCATGAGGGAGTCCTCCTCAAATAGTTCTACGATATACTGCCACTTTTTACTGTGTGTTTGCTGGAAGTTGTGTGCAGAGATTTTTATAGAATCTTTGTGTTCATCCTACCTGGTTTATCTGCAGTGAAGATTTTATAGTCAATGTTTTTAATGAAGTGAAACTGAATTAGCTTTATTATTTTTCACNTATATAGTTTGGACCGATTTACAGAGTTGCCTGTTGTTTTTTTCATACATTGCATGTCGGCTATTTCAGAAGTATGTTGCAGTTGAACACCCCTCACCTCACCCTCTCCTTCCAAACATGAAAAAGAACCTGTGGTAGCCTTTAGTTGTCATAAAAACTCAAAAGGTGTTTAGTTTGTCCAGTCTGGATTAATGTAAAAAACATGGCGGCCTCCGTAGAGCGGACCCCTCAATGTAAATAAAAAGTATTTAAATATAAAGGCTTTTCTGGGGTAAAGAAAACTACAACTCATACAATTTAGATGAAACAAACTAGTGAAAACATCATGAGGATTATTCTACATTAAATCTCTGCCAATAGTTCCCTTTCACCTCAATCTTACACTCTGGAGCTTTAAGCAGTCTACACAATCTTAATGAAATGAAGTTCTGTAATTGAGCTCATAATGACCCATTGCAGCAACAAAAAGAATGTTGTGCCTTTACTTTATCAGTATCAGCACCCTGGCTTCTGATTGTCTGTGTCAGTCTGGTATGGTGAAATGAAAAAAGAATTTTTTCTTGGCCTGGGAAATTACATTTCTTAAGAAAATATGAACGTGACATGTCTGTGGATGGAGCTGAAGTAAGTGGCGATTGCTTCACAGTCTGAAGATGCAGAGATCAGCCCCCCTGATGGCAAACAGCACTCAGGAGAAGAAGGAATCGCTTTGTTCTCTCTTGTTATTATTTCTACTGCAGAGCCTTGCCACATATATCAGCTTGTATGGCTTGCACTATAAATACATAAATGCCATTCAAACATTTAATTAGCTCTTTGAGACAGTGTTGCTATTATGTTTTGTGAGTGTGACATATAAAAGAGATTTTATGTAAAGTTTTGAATTTCACAATGGAAGCAGAAGAGTTGAACTATGTAACCTCTCATCAGTGTTGTAATAAATGTCACAGTTTGAGGCTATTTAAACCTTGATGACTCATTTTACAGCTGGTATAAGACTTTGTGTGTGTTTCATGTGAACACCTTCAGTGTGGAGCTGTGATTTTACTGCCATTATTACTGCAGGGTGACTTGTTCCTTGCCTTACCTTTTCTTCACCTTTAAGATTTTTACATTTGGTTAGCAAACAATACATTTGTATACATCACTCTCACCCACAGCTGAACTTGGAAAGAAATCTGGGGCCGAAAGCTTTACAGTTATCGTTGGGTCAAATTTCTCCTCAAGAAATATGCAAACTTGCACTGTATACAATCAAAATACCTGCATGGGTCAGTGGTTAGCAATTTTCTCCTGGACGCGGTTCCATATCTAAAGGTTCTGTGCTCAATCCCACCACTTTTCCGAACAATCAAAGAAAGCAACATACTTCCTTGCACAGAGCAGTTTTGTTTTTTGCTTCATTCTGATAAGCGGTTGGATTGGAAAGAACCTCTATCTTCCACAAGACTGTGCGGTTTGCACAGATGTTTGATGTTTGTACTTAAGTGATTTCCAAGGGAGGATTAAACCTTTCCACTCATACACATGTTTTTTAAATTCCATATATTTTCATACAACAGTAAAGAGCATGTTGCTCAAAGACATTGCTGCTTATATCTGTTTTTTTCACTGACATAAACAAAACTGTTAATGCAATTTGTATTTTCTTGAAGATAATTTTTGGGCCCTATTGCCTTTACTGAGAGGTCAGTGAAGAAATGCAGCAAGTGGATGAGTCGCAATTAAACCTGCAGCAACCAAACTATAAATTCTCACACTCAACTATATCTGCCAAATCCTTTAGTTGAATGTCTCAACGTCTCAAGTGACGGTTTGCACAGCAGTCTCATTATCACTTATCTGTGGAAAACACTTTTTACATCCGCCTTTGTGTAAGGCTCAAAATAAGTATATTTCCCATGAAATAAATCTTTCTTGTCTGGTTCGACACATCGTAGGGATCATATATTTATGATGCTGTAAATGTTTTCGCAACAAAAAAGAAAATCTGGCAATGGTAATGTCTTTTTTCTTGGTAGAATTCAAACCATTGTGTCTGAAACCTGCTCCACAGGATCTTCAAATCAATACAGTCTGAATATGTGAACGTGAGGATGATTTGTGGAAAGTTTATCAGTGTTTAAGAACAATCAATACATTGGAAATAATAATTATAAATAATAAATAATATAATTGTGATTGGGGATCTTATAATATTATTGATTCATCATTGACATCAATCTTGGTATATTATTTACATTGATATTTCCTGGTTTTGCAAACTTTTGATGGAAATGTACTGTCAGCAAGGGTGTTCAATGGATGTCAATCCAACCAATCAACCTAATGGTTGGATCCTTGGTGTCTCAGTAGCCTCCATCTGCTGAAGCTAATCAAGAAATAGTAGTAATCAACAAGAAAGCCCTTTTTGCATTCATAGTAGATGTGTTGTATGAACTAGGGAAAATAAATCAATGTCTGATATTTGTGTCTGAAGCAGCAGGCAGGTTCTTGCCATTGAAAGAATTATGCTCCTTAGTGAGTGCATACATTTATGAGAACAAGTCAAACAATGACAAGCCCCATTGAGAGGGGGTTGGATATGAGTGAGGGTGAATTCTTTGATGAAATCAAATCCAAGGAATCCAAGGAATTATTGCCAGTGGACAAGAATTTAAGAAATTAATTGTCAGGTTTAACAAAGCTCTGATTGGGACATACCAGGATATTAATGTCTGTGCAAAGGCAGACCTGGTAGGCAGGTGGCAGCTGTGCTGCTGTGTCTTGAAGGCTTAAAGAGATAGTTAAATCAAAAATGAAAATTCACTCATTATCTACTAACTACTTTCAGAGTTTTAGAGGGGTAAACAGTGTTGCAGCCAAATCCACTACAATTGAAGTAAATGCTGTTTTTCCACTTTTGAAGAAGTGATTGCCAGTTACTTCAATGGTATTGGCTTTAGCTGCAATGCTGTTTACCCCTGGAGCTCAAAAAGTGTTTAGTTGATTCAAACACTTCAACCACCCCTCCATCGGCATGGTGGTGTCATTATGCTTTCCCTTTAGTAGTTGGAAATTGGATACCCCAGGGCAAAATAAGTGTCATCAATTTCTGTAATATGTGTAAACCTAAGTTTGACAATTCAGTTAGGAGGGTAAGCTCCATCTGGGTACGTGATTTTAGAGATCACTCTGTACTGTATGTGTTTTCATCTGGATGAGGACTATTATTTCAGTTCTTAGCACCTTTGAACCCCATGGACGTCATGAAAACTGCATTTTTCCCTCAGGGAGGAAGGACTAGGCCTCCGGAGCTCTTATGAACAGACTGACTGTCTTTTTGTCATGACGGTTTACCATTAGCACACTGACAGGTGCTGTAGACAGAGCCACAAGGGCTCTAACCTATGCCACTTGCATACTACTAAAACCCTCTGCCTTAACAATAACACATTGATTGACTGACACACATACTGAGCAAACAGTGTTGAATTCAGACGCGGTGCAGTGTTTTCACCAGAGACAGCTCTGCAGGTCCTGAGTCCATTTACTCCTGAATGTGTGCATAGTAAATACTAGATCCATTTTTCACAAACCACATATCTTATAAACATTCTGACACTGAAAAAGCATTTTGCAGACAGTTTGAGAAGTTTCTCTGAATGAGTAATACACTCTCGCAAGATCTGACACAAGGTTATCTCTCTTCTCTCTGTAGGTTCTGGCCTGGTTTCAGTGGCAGTGTTGCCAACATTGCTTTCCAACCAGATAAACAGAAATTTTAAGAGGCTATGAATCAAAAAATAAAACTTAAATCAAACTGTCAGTTACTCTCTTTACAATACTATTGAATAAAAACGTATTCAAATGTTATTGAAGGAAAAAAAGACAATTAATATTGGACTGGGAAATAGATTACATTTGTATTGTATCCATTGTGATGAATTAATTAATTGACATGGGCAAGCAATAGCTCATCAAGCTTAGACTAGCAATATGCTGTAATAACAAAACAATGACCAGTGCACACAGGAAGTTTATACCATTTAGGGCACTGAGAGAGAGCTTGTGTCATATATATACTTATCTGCAGTGGAACTAAGGGCATGGGGATACATATTACTGTACTATATTACTATATTACTATATTCAGAGGTTATTGTTTACTTCGTCTCAATTCAGGGATCGCTGTGACTTACTTAGCCATACATTCTGTCAGCAGAATTCAAGTGCAGTTACACTTTAACACTGAAACAGCCAGCAAAACAGATTAACATGCAACCAATAAAGAACTTCGATCTCACCTCTGGCTTTGTCATGTGTGGTAAAGCTGTGTATCTGCAGTTTGAGTCCGTGTTGGCCAGCTGTCTAGGGACCTGGTCTGCCTTGATTCCTCCGTTCTTATCCTCTCTCATCACTCCTCCACCGCTCTGCCCATCTATTCTTTGGTCGATTGTCTCTCCAGCCCCTTGGCTCGGTTTTGGTCTCCACTCTGTGCAGTCTGACTGCCCGGGTATACCTGCATGCCCCTCTTTCTGTGGCTCCTTCTGAACCTCACATCCCATCAGGAAGTCTCCCTCCATAATCCCTAGGGAAATAAAAACACAGGAAAAGCAGTTGATATCTTAGGGATGGTGAATCCACAATCTTAAATGTCAGTTTTAATTTGCCTGGAAATTAATGCAGGGTAGAGGGGATTTTCCCTATAGGTTTTCTAACAGTGACTTCAACAATGCTGTCATGGTCAAGTTGCAACAACTAGTACTAACCTGGCAGAACTAATGATAATCTGCTGATCAGTTAATTCAGGGAATTTTACTTTACATTGAACACATTTCCGCAAGTATGTCTTTTAAGGGTAACTAGAAACTGTTCATACCTACAGAAACATTGAGATCTGATACCTCTGACCATATTTACAAGGGATTTTGGCATCTCACAGTCTCCCTCTCACATGCCAGCGCCTTAACTTGTTGTTTCAGTTTAGCCAGGAGGCAGTAGATGGATGTCTTTAAGTGGCAGTCTTTTTGTTTTTCCTGTGCTCCCCAAGATTACCTTTTCATCTCTGTTATTGTCTGTAATCCTCAGCTCCTTTAAATTACAGAGTGATCTCTTGTTATGTGCCGTGATGGGGATCAAATGACAATTTCAAATGCTGAAGGACCTTTCTCTGTGAAGGCTTAGGAGGCAAATCAGGGTACAAAATCTACTTATTTTATTTCACCACGATCAGGTTTGAAGCAAAATGCCATTTCAATATTTTGTTTATGTTTTAACCATGTTAATTTATGTGATTTCACAAAGACCTCTACTGATTCTGTGGTTCTCACAGGTTGAGATGAAGGCTTCACTCTGCAAACCAGTTATCATTTACTACCATCTTGTGGTGGAATTGGGTTTCTTTCTAGAAATCTTGCTCTGTTTGAAAATTGTGTTTGCATGTGTGTGTGTGTATATATCTATATCTATAGATATGTGAATATAAATTACTGTTTATATATAGAGAGAGAGACATAAACTTTCACCTGTAAATATTGCCTCATCTGCACTTTAATCTTCTATTTGCACTTTCTGGTTAGATGTAAAACTGCATTTTGTTGTATTTGAACTATTTGCAATGACAATAAAGTTATTAGATGGGATCACCTTTTATAATGCTAACCCCGTCACCCTCTTGGTATTATTTAGATTTAAAATCTAAAATGTGTGAGTACAGAGTCAAATCATAACATTACACAAAGATCCTTCAGATTCTACACAATATGAATGATCTGAATTATTCAAATAGTAACATATACCTGCAGTAGGGCTCTGAATACTTGTGAGCACAGCTGGGATGTCTTTGGTTCTTTCCACATGGATGTTAGAAGACACTGATGTAAACAGTTTTTGTGAGTGGGCTAAGCTGATTACATCCTGTGAATCACAGAGAGTCTTTTCTGGTAAAGTGAGAGAATTGTCCGAAGGTCCCACCCCATCACAACCTGTGTTTTCATGTTTGGATGGATTCACGGTCTCTGATAATGTTGGGTCTGATGGTTTGCTGCAGCAGATGGATGCATGTGGGTTCAACTTTCTTGGAGCTTTGCAATTATTGATAGAAAACGCTGACACTGACCCAGACAGTTTATCAGCACTGGCCTTATCGAACTTAACCTGCATAGAGCAGGGTGCTTCTCCACTTTCTAACCTGCTGCTTCTGTATTCAGAGGCTTCACACTTGGTTTTCATTATGCTTGCATCAAATGAGGCTCCTTGATTTTTAGGTTTTTGTTGTGTGTCTTTGCCCAGTATTTCACTTTTTCTCTTCTGATTTACTGAATTGGGAGAAACACCAGATAGTGTTTGCAAAACCAGTCCACCTTGACTGACCCAGCTGTCCAGGAAAGGTTGTTCTTCAGGCAACGGGTTCAGAGAAAGGGCACGTTCCTCCTCTGAAGTTTGGTTTCTTCCTGACAGTACAGCAGCAGTTGACATAACATCACTAACAGAGCTCAGAGTCTCTGTGGCCGTGTTTACATGACCGCATTTGTGTGGGTGTAATGTCAAGCCCAGAGATTCAGGAGGCTTAGGTACAGCTGATAGTGTAGCCTGACTGGAATTTCTGTGTTCAGTCGTGTGGGCAGTCAGTGGTTTTATTCTCTCCACATTAAGTGTGGGTAAAGATTCATTTTGGTCCAACTCCTTATGATTTCCCTGCAGTCGATGGGCCGTTCCGTCATTGTTACTTTCCGTGGCAACAGAGCTTTGAGCTTTATTCACTTCTGCGGCCTGTGCTTTCATGTCACATCTCTGTGAGAGGCTGCTGTTCTCATGACGCTCAATCTGCGGTTCAATGAGAGCCAGCTGCTCGTCGGATATGATCTGAAGGCAGATCTGGAGATCTGCTGTGTGAACATGAAACACATTCTGACCTGCTGGTTGCACCTGATCAAATGGTATGATGTGACATGGTACTTTTGGGGTGTTTGGGCCGGTAAATGCTCTGTCTACAAGGTTCAACTGGTCTGACTCTGGCAAGAGTTGTAAGTGTGAGGGAGGAAGGTTAGAGTTACGTTGACATTGTAAGATGGTTGTACTGGAAGCAGCAGATGTCTGATTGTTTTCTGTGCTTATGGTGGGTAGAGCAGGGAAGTTTCCAACCACAGGTGCTGTGGGTAACTGCACAGTTGCAGATTTCGAGGGCTGTATTGATGTGCTGCATAATCCTTCCTGGTTATCATGTCGGCAGGCTGTGGTTATTGTGGTTGCTGCAAGTTGATTGTGCACCACAGGGAGACTAGATGTCAAATTGTCATTGAATCTTGTTGTTTCAGCTTGAAACAATGTTGCAGCTGTGCAAGGCAAGAAAAGCTGGGCTTGTGTGGAATTGAGAGCACTCGTTTTTTTGGAATCAGCAGTTATCATCAACGCTGATGTGACGGGATCACTTGATTTGATTTCAGTAGTTGATACTGAAGGTGAGCTCTGCTCGCTTTGAGAAGATGAAAGAGTAGAGGTGAAGGTCGTGTCAGTTCCTATCGGTTTATCCGCAACATGCAGCGCAGCATTTGATTCAGATTCTGCAGCATTAGGCAACTTGAGCTGGTACTTGGGCAGGAAGCTGGTCTTGACAGCTGAGGGGATGGAAGTGACAGGCAAGTTGCTAACCGATGGTGCATTTGCATTGATTATGCATGGTGAGAAGAGAGCTCCTTTGAGTTGAGTGTAGTTTGGGGTTTTTTGGAGGTTGACATAACTGAAGTGTGTATCCTGCCGAAGTGCACTGCCAGTGAAAGAGGGAGGAGGGTGAGTCAGTGTGTTTGGGGCGGTCTCCGTCTCAAGTTGGCAAATTGATTCATCATCAGTTCTCTGCTTTTTCCTATTAGAGGGAACATGGGCTCCACAGAGCTCGGAGATGGAATCAGTGTGTTTTTCTTCTTTAGTCCCAGCCCCTGTGGTGCTCATGCTGTCTGCGTGGTGGCTAACAAATGATCCAGCTGAAGGTAATGGCAGTATTGACAAAGACAGGTTTCTCTGGATTGGAGTCTTGACAGAGCTGCACAGTGAATACAGCTGGGTGGTTCTTACATTAACATCCATAGTAGAGCCAGGGGATGACTTGGCAGGAGGGCAGCCTGGGTGGCACATATTTGCCCTGCTGCTCGGGATGTTTATCGCTGAGCCTGTTGTTGGTATCTCCTTATGAACTGATGAAAGCTTTTTTTGTGGGGCCAGAAAAGCCTCATTCTCTGTGTTCATACATTTCCTGCCTTTGACAACACTGTTATCACCACTTTTCTCTGTGTTGTAGAGCTTCTTAAATGTCCCGCCCCCGTACATGTACCACTTGTTGTAGGCAAACTTCTGAGCTTTCTTCCTCCGGAACTTTCTGTTGCTTGGCTCTCCACAAATGTCCCCATCGCAGCTGAGACTGCCGGTGCTCGCCTCCTCCACAGATGAATTCATGAAGAGACCGTCTGTTGCGTGGTTGCAGTCAACGGCTGTCTGTCTGACCAGTGGCCGGTGGGTGGATGACTGTTGGTTCACAGGCTTGATTGCAGAACCTGCTGGGTTGATCTGGCCAGAGCTTCCCCTGCGACACAGTGTTACATAATTGCTCTGATAGGACGAGGCTGAGCTGCTCTTCTCAGGCTGCAGGAGGGCCACGCTGAAGGGGAGGGAGTGGCTGCGGGTTAAGGGGGCATGCTCCATGGTGGTGGAGTGCTGAGTGGGCACAGAGCTGTATAGTCCAGGCTTCCTGTTTCTTTGCAACCCAATATTCGGAGTCCTACTGATCTTCATGTCAAAGTGAAAGGAGTCCTTGTATGTGTATGGCATAGGGAGGTCAATGCTACCCTGCTTTGAAAGAACAGTCTTCCGAGGCCTTACATTCTCCAGCTGTTTGTCCTCCACAACAGCGTTGTTCTCCGAAATCAGCTTAGATATGCGCTCCTCCAGTGTCTTCTGCTCCTGCTTCCTTGCAGTGTCGTTGGGCTCCTGTGCACCTTGCACTGAAGACTTGTGTATGTTTGTTGTTTCCTCAAGATGCTCTTTATTAGATTCAGTGAGAGAATCCAGACTGTGGTCAGGTAAAACACTGCCAGGGCTTGGGTAGTGGTCACTGCTCTCGCTGAAACCTGAGTCTGTGCTCTCGTGGTTCTGTGATTTTCCTCTGGATACAGAGCTCTCCCACTGCTTGGAGAACAGAGTGGCCTTTTGTCTCTGAAGTGGAAGATGTCGACCAACAGTCGAAGGAGGTTGTTCATTTTCCATTCTCAGGTTCTCCTCTACTTTTCTTACCTTTGCACTTTCATTTGAATCTGTTGTATGACCTGCAGGGGTCAAGTCTCTCTGCTCACAGACAGAGCCATGTGTCGTTACAGAGAAGACCCTTGTAGTATTGGCTGGACAGGTAATCTCAGCAGCAGGTAGTGTGCCATCCTTCTCCATGCTTCCTGACTCCTCACTGTGCTCATCCAGAGACAGACTGGAGGAATGAGTCTCTCTTGAGCTGGACATGCTGTCCAGGCTGCCCAGGCTGCCCAGGCTGCTCTGCTCTGACTCGGATGAGAGGCGGGCATGAGCCTGAGTACGTTTATGTTTGTAGAGGTTGCTCTGAGTCTTAAAAGAAACTCCGCAAGTGGTGCAGGGGTAGGGCCGCTCCCCTGTGTGGCAGCGGAGATGTTTCTCCAGCACACTGGGCTTCATACAGTCCCGTCCGCAGTGAGGACAAACATGTTTTCCTGCCGATTTGGGTCTGGCTGTTGGAGCAGCAGCTGCCGGACTCAGCCCTGGCGGAGACTGCAGCCCACCAGCAATGTGGAGTGTCAAAAAGGGAAGAGTCTCCTTGGAGTAGAGCGGTGGCATGGCCAGATGGAGTGTGGCTGGTTCCTGTGCAGCAGCAGGAAGCTGTGGGAAAGGCTGCGCTGGTAGAGCAGGCACGGTGTGGATGTAAACAGCCGTCAGCGGGGCCTGGACATCCATCCTTTTCTCTGTCTGCGCTGCGGCGGAGCTGATGTGCACTGGAGCACATACTGGCTTGCCAGTCTCCATGGTAACCCGGCTGCTGTCGTGATGTGCCAGTGCCAGGTCTCTAATTACCTGTAAGATAAGAAATTTCATTAGGCTCGGCTTTACTCAGATTCAGAACTGGTAGATCTGTGTATCTGAGCAGGGATGTTTGGCTTTAAATTTAAAAGGAGAAATTAGACTTAAATTCTGAAGAATATTTTGTTGTTGCACCAGTGGAACAGAGAAAAACAGATAATGAATGTGCTAAGGAAGTTAATGATGGTTGATATGTGCCTTCAGGACAGATGGTGAATAAAGGAATGAATCCAGTCTGGATTTTGCATGCTAATAAAATCCAGGGAGATGCAATTTTTCCACAACTCTACAGCACGAAAACAAAAACACATCTAGATCTGAGTGATAATGTTGTGATGAGACAATGACAATACCCATGGTGAAGAGTATAATTATTTGAATCTCTGTTGTTTCATTTCAAGAGCAGGTGGTGTAGGGATACAACTCTGAGGATATGTTTTGTATGCAGGCAGTGGAGATAGAGGAGACAAAAACATGGAGAGAAATGTGTAGCGAGAAGCAGAGGGTGATGTAGGAGAGTGACTCACACCAGGAGAGGAGGAGGGAGATCAGATACTCATATCAGAGGCTTTATCTTTCCAAATGAAACGTGTCTGCTGACATTAGCTCTTGCCTCTGTCACCAGTCTGCACCAATTACATGGCACAACCCTTGATTCACCGTAGCATGTAACAGCTTTGTCTCGTGACAGATCGTCATATTTATGCAGAATCAGAGTGTGAAGCCACCTACATGAAAAGATAAACAGCCTTATCTTAGGGTGTGCAAATTTCATTTCCTGTTGCTGTGATGGTGCCTCTACATGTATGATGAATTTGCATAATTCACCCACAGAATCACGGATGGCAGGGAGCATAATTTGTGTTAGCTGTGCAGCATGAGCACGCCCACGTTAAACACTGTTTGTGGTGCTGTTATACCCAGGAAAGTTTGCTCTTATTCAAGTGAGTTCTCGATGAAAACGAGAAGCACCGTGTCAGTATCTTTTTAAACATTATTTACTCTGTAGATCTTCCCTCTTACTGTAATGTGCTTTCACTTCCCTATAGCTATGTAAATATGTCACGTTGGTTTACATGCTGCGGTGCCATGGACCTGTAGTGCAGAGCTCTTTTCACCTACAAGCACTTCAAAATGGTGAGTCTTGTATTGAATGGGTTTAAAAAGAATTCAAACTGCACTGAAATACATCTGTTTATTGTACAACAGCTAAATTGACGAGCATCTAAATGTTAACAGAAAAGAAGACATTATAGATTTCTCAGATTGGAGCACTGTCTCAAATTAAAATATCTGTCTTGTTTTATCTTATTTAATCTATTCAACTAATTTCCATTAGTTGCTCTGACTTTGTAAAGGGTGCTTTTAAAAAGAGGAAATAAACTGTTGCCATCACAAAGTGTTGGTATGAAGAACATTACAAGAAACCAGAACATGCTGTAACTAGGCCGAAAGTCAAGGGCAACTGTTTAGAAAAACAGAAACTATCTCGTAAAAGATACTAAAATCACTTACCGTCTTGCTTTTGATTTGAATCAGTTACAATTATCCAGCCCAGAGAGTCTTGTACCTGCAGCAGCCCCATCTTCAGAGTACCTGCTGTGTTCAGTCTGTTCTGTCATCCAGGCCGCGCGGCTCTCTCCAATATGATTCTTTCACACAGCTCTTTTGACATGAACTGTCACAAGGAAGCTGAACAAATGCAAATGAGAGAAAAGATGCACTATGAAAGTGGTGAGGCAGAGAGGAGGAGAGTGAGGGAAGGAGAAGGGCTGGCTGGGTGGCTGAGGGGGGTGGTGGCTGTGAGACAAAGACTTCCGGAGGACAAGTTGAAAACACAGAGTGATCTGGAGGAGTGGAAGCGACCAGAGGCCCTGAGCACAGATGGAAGGACTGAAGACACACACACACACACAGTGCTGTGCAGAAGTTAAAGTGGCTTTTGTTGGAGGAAGTGCAGTGACAGAGGCAGACTTACCTTCAACAGTCACGCTGGATGAATTACTGACTTTACCATCAACAGTTTGAGCCAGTACCTGACTTCTGGCTCACTGAAACACTCGCTCCCCCATCCACCCACTTCCTCCCACACACTGTATTTCATACACCCACATAGACAAGGGCGCAGCAAAGCCAATGTTGATGTGGCCGCTTGGCTGCATGTGCATCTCACTCTCTCATGCAGAGAACGAGCTGTGAGTGGCTGGGATGAATTTCCCACCTCCAACAACAGCCCCCATTGCATTCAGCGGGTGTACACCAGTTCACACTGCACATGCTTACAGTCATACAGTTGCTTTTTTAATTATAATGTCTCATTTCTATTCACCATTTTGATGCTGTTTTTTTTACTGTTGCTGGATGTGATGAGAAACTATTGATTTCGTAGACAGTATACATTCAGCCAGTACAGTGAGATTGTATTATTGACCATAAGATAAAACCCAATCCAACTGGTGAACGCATTCATCTTTTTTGTTTGATTCTGATTCTATTCTCATAGATCATTTCTATTATTTATAGAAAGACAACACATACACATACTTGTGTATTTGTCCACATAGCCTCTGTAATGAAAGTGCCAGCACACTAGTTAGGGAATTGTTCTGTCCCTGGACAGCTGCAGATTACAAGATTATAATAACTTGAGTTATCTGAGTGGTTTCTCAAAGTGCATGTGGCCTCAAATAGGCTGTAACAGGATAAGTCCTAAAAAACACATTGTGGGTGTAGTGAGTTACACCTTTTGATATTGATTAAATATTTGATATGACATATTTTGATCATGCACACACAATACTGATATAACATTTTTGCTAACACCTTTCGCATATTAACTTTCGATTGCCAGCAGATACCAAATAAGCTTTCACATGAAGTATAGTATCTCATACCAATAATCACTTTTCGTTTAGTCTCCAACCACTCCTGAGATAAATGTCTTTAGCATCATTTTTCTTTTCTCTTATGAGACTATGGCTTGCAGCCTGTAAAAGCAAAAATAAGTGAAAATACTTAAACTGCTCCACAGAGTCACATGAAATTGCAGAATTGAATGATCATTTGTAGTGGTTTTGTTGCCACAAGCAAACATTTGAATGTTGCCCTGGATCATAGAATACATAGTTAATACAGCTGCTTTAACTTTAATCTGTGTTTTGTTTTTCTTTGCAAATGAATGAAACAGCATAATTTTACTCTCAACAACACATGATGTAAGTGATGTTTCATAGCTCTGCAATCATTTTTGAACAAATATGTCATCGTGTGGGATCGGCTATTCAATTCTCAGATGACATCTGCTGAAAGAAAACAAATAGTTTTTATATCTTTTCACTGCTACAGACTCTTGCTGGTCTCCAAGGCAACTGCAGGCTGATCTGCTGAGAGCATGGCTAGTGTTGACATGGTAACGAGACACCTCCTACCATACATGTTTTCTGTCTTTACATAGCTGCAGTCCTGCAGGAGGGAAGCACAGTTTCAGGCATAATCACATTTGTAAAGACAGAGTCAGATTAGATGTTTACAAATTGAAGTATGTGTGTAGTTTATGTCAGTCTGCACAATTGTCCTCACTGAAACATTCAGCAATGTTGGTGTTAGATGATAGATTTAGAAAAACGGCGTGTTCAGTTGAGTGGGATTATCAGACACACTACAAATTTTGGAGTTCAGTGGTCACGTGTCTTAATACAATGCCAAAAAAAGGCTAATGTCATTCTTTTTTGAGGATTATGAAGTTCTCTGCCTCTTCGCACTGCCATGGACAAAGTAATTCAATGTATGTCTGAGGACTAAAAGTGCCCGAGGGACATATCCAGCTTGCTTGATTAGACTCTGGGTGAGTCCCCATGTAAATGATAGATATACTATTTGAGCAGGCTTGTCTCCAAAGCAGCCTGAGCTACCGTTATGCATCTGAATTTATTACACTTCATTTCTGTCTCTTTTTGGCCACATTTCAGGAAGCGACAACTGAGTGTGTGGGTGGGTGGGTGCTAAATTTCTGGAGGCCTATAACCATTTACATGTTCCCTTGTACCTTTTCAGTGGTTGAAGAATAGCAGTTTCTTGCCCCACTTTTTACCCCAATACCAATCTCATCACTGCTACCTGCTGCCAAACACTGTGCATTTACCCATCAGTGTAAATAACCATTATTATCATTTATTTTTCACTTTTAACACTGTCTTAGCTACTATCAGAATTTAGCTCGGTTAAGGGAATTTTACGGTTTACAACTTCATAGCTGAAAATTCCATTACTTTGACAAAGCAGAGATTAAACCTAGAGCAGTAGCTGAGTGTGTTTTCCTCTTCATGTCTTTGAGATGCTGTACTTGTGCACCCTCTGCTGGGTCATGCTTACAGGCCACCATTACAGGGGTAAAAAAAAAAGCCTTCCTCACAAACAATGTATAAATACTAATTATTCAGTTGGTAAAATCAGGACTGGTGGAACACACTGCAAACTTCTTCAACACATTCAACATCCAACACAAGACCTTTCAGTTTAATACCCAGACACAAAAAGTTTTAAGCATTTTGTTAAAAATGAAAAATATCAGCCTGATTAAACTATGAACCTACCTTTTGACTCATTTTTACAGATTTTAACTCGCACTAATTATATGCTTTTATTAAGGCAATAGGATGTGCATACACTGGGGAAGTAAGAAAGATATTTTCCTTTTTTTCATTAAAGAATCAAGTATTACAAAGTAAATTTGAAAGTCCTGTTAACCACGAGAGAAGAGAATTGTGTTCTGCATTTATAACTCGAGCATCAGGCATTTTATTCTCTATCTTAGTAAAAATATATATATTCACAAAGACGACAAAACTGATAGTGTTTCATGTGACAGTGTTTTTGCTATTTATTTCCTCTTATCTATACATTTTTCCACTTCAGAATCAGAATCAGAATCAGAATTCCTTTATTGTCCCAAGATTGAGAAACGAACAGCGTTGCAACAGCAAGATAATCAACAGGCATGAAAAATGAAGAATATAAAGTAAAGATAAGTTAAAACAAGATAAATTACTATATACAAATTGCACTTAGACATCTGCATTGGTTGTACATTGACTGTCCTTGTTTATAGCCTAACATTATAAAGTATAAAAGTATAATATCATGATTAGTACTGCACACACATATGAACATGTAAAACGTTTAATGATAAATATGAATCTATTTTATCCTCTGGAATGAAAACCCTGTTCACCGAGAGGGAACGTCCCGTCTTTGCGTGCTGACGTAGGACGCAAGTGACGTGCAGCGGGACGCACGTTCCGGTTGAGTCCAGGAGCGCCATTGAAGCCAGAGCGGAGGTAGATCTATTTTCATGCTTTCACGCGAGCACAAGAAGAATAATGCGGCTCCTCTGCGGGTAATTCGCTCAAAGCGTTGTTTGTGCAGCGCACGCACACTGCGCCACTTCCGGGTTTCACCTGCGCGTAACTTAACCTGAGTTTCCTCCGTCCTAACTGTAGCAACAGAGCTAGCGCTGTTAGCATCACTGCTAAGCACAAGTTCCATTCATTCGCCTCATAGTCGGAGCTAAGTAGCTAACGGTGTTTGCTAGGAGCTTGTGGTTGATACGGTGGGAGCTACCTGTAGCTAACGCTGATAACGCATGAGCACTTAGCACACGAAGTTGCGTGTTTGTTGACTCGGTGTGTTTTCTTGCAGCAGCTAAGTTGTGAGCACTGACGGTGTGGTCCCGGTCGCAGTGACCCATCATGTATCGTCCCAAACCGACTCTGAAGGACCGACAGCACCTGTACAAGCTCATCATCAGCCAGCTCCTCTACGACGGATACACCAGCATCGCCAACAGTCTCATCAACGAGGTGAAGCCCCCCAGCGTCGTGTCGCCCTCTGAGCAGCTGATGCAGCTGGCGAAGACAGGTGAGCTGCTCGGCGTGTGAGGCTGCGAGAGGGCCGTCAGGTCAAGCTGGGCGACGAAAAACAGTAACAGTAGATTCTGCAGAATGGTTTTCATTCATAGCAGTACATCAGATGTTAGTAAGCGTTACCGGGAAAGCAGTGCACACTTTACTCTTTGTCACAACCTTCAGTCAAGAATCCGTTTTTAAATCTGCAGGATCCATATCTGACACTACTCAATACATGTTATTGTTATGAGGAACTGGTGCTGCTATCTTTAATTCATCGTTACATGTATAAACCTCTTATTATTTTGATTGTAACAACCAGTCTGACAAAGCTTAAATATTACGGTTACAAAAGTGCTTCTGGTCTCTCTCTCCTCTCTTCCCCTTTCTTCCCCCTCTCTTTTCTCTCCCCTCTTTTTCACTCACCTCTCCTCCCTTCCTCACTTTTTTCCCAAACCAGTTCTACCAGAGGTTTCTTCCTCTTGATAAGGGACTGTTTGTCCCCTTGCAGTCGCTGAAGTGTTTGCTCGTGGTGGGAACTGTTTCTCTATAATTATGTAAAATCTTGACCTAGCTACGTAAAGTTCCTTCCAATATTGCGTGTTGTGATTTGATGCTATACAAATAAAATTGAAATGGAAATAATAATTTCATATTTATCATAAGCGTTGCCATGGTAGTCAATGTTATCGTGTTGCACGGTGTTAAGACACATACAGATAACATAACTCCCCTGCCACCGCTGTTTAATTTTTTTTAAAACTTAAAACCTATTTGGTAAATTTTTGTTTATCAGTGGTCAAGTCAACACAATCTCTAATTTGTAAAATTTTAGTGATCAACTCCTTAGCTACTCAACTACTCAGTCTGACACACTTGTAAAGTGAAAGTGTGTTCTGAGGCATATCACAGAGTAACAAAGTCTTGCTGACCAACAAGGATATGAAGGATTTGATATTTAAAGATGATAAAAAAGCTCACGGATGACTTGAAAGTTCACCATCTCATCGATAGAAGGTTCAATGGGCTTGATTGAGCGAGTGAGCAAGAAACAGTGGTGCAGAGCGCTGTACACTTTCCAATGAAGCAACAACGCACTTCTGCAAGATCTTTCATATTATTATGAGAAGTGGACTGGCACAGTCTAGGTAATTAATCGGAAACACTGCAGATTACTTCAAGTGCTGCAGTAGAGTAAGGCCGCCGGCACCAAAATCGTAACGCACATCTTGTTAAATGTCTGGTGTTGTCGCACCATTCCTAATCATGATTATAATCGATATCTAGAGTGATGTGTTATCTTGATGAAGTTTTGGCCATATTGCCCAGCCCTACCCTAAGTGCAGTTGCTGCAAACTCTTTCAGGGATGGAGAATGACGACAGTGCGGTTCAGTATGCCATCGGGCGCTCAGATACAGTGGCCCCTGGAGTAGGTATCGATATGGAATTCGATGCTGACATGCAGTCAATGTCACCAGAGGCGTCAGAGTATGAGACCTGCTATGTAACATCTCATAAGGGCCCCTGCCGTGTCGCCACCTACAGCCGTGATGGCCAGCTGATTGCCACGGGCTCTGCTGATGCCTCCATCAAGATCCTGGATACGGAGCGCATGCTGGCCAAGAGTGCCATGCCCATTGAGGTGAGGCAGGTTGGAGAATCTAGGTGCACTGATCTGAAGTCAGCAGGCTCACGCTCACTATTACCTTTGTTTCTTTTTATGTCAGGTGATGATGAATGAGACAGCTCAGCAGAACATGGAGAATCACCCTGTGATTCGGACACTGTACGACCACGTTGATGAAGTCACCTGTCTCGCCTTCCATCCCAGTGAACAGATTCTGGCTTCTGGATCAAGAGATTACACCCTCAAACTGTTTGACTACTCAAAGCCCTCAGCAAAAAGAGCATTTAAATATATACAGGTCAGAATTTGTTTGCAGAATGTCTCAACTTTATCACTTGTCCTGTGTTTGGCCAAATAAAACTGCTTTAATTAATATGATATGAAGATGCTGCAAATATAAACAAGGCTGAATTTGAGAACATTGAAATGTTTTAACTGGTTTTCTAAAACTATTAGTTATGTTATCTAATCCTGACCTCGTCTGTCTCACTATAGGAAGCAGAAATGTTGCGTTCAATCTCCTTCCACCCATCAGGAGACTTCCTGCTGGTGGGAACACAGCACCCCACCCTCCGCCTCTATGATGTCAACACCTTCCAGTGCTTTGTGTCCTGTAACCCGCTGGACCAGCATACAGACACCATCAGCGGGGTCAGCTACAACCCCTCAGCCAACAGCTACGTCACCTGCAGCAAGGATGGCAGCATCAAGCTCTGGGATGGTGTCTCCAACCGCTGCGTGACCACCTTCGACAAGGCCCACGATGGCGCAGAGGTGTGCTCCGCCATCTTCTCCAAGAACTCCAAATACATCCTGTCCAGTGGCAAAGACTCCGTGGTCAAGCTGTGGGAGATCTCGGCAGGCCGGACGCTGGTCAAGTACACAGGTACAGATGACTTCTGTTTTACACGAACCATGGTGTATTTTCATACAGGAGGATTAAGACTTGTTACTTCCTTAGAACCTTCTTGATTTCTAGATCTTATAAGATCA